TGCTGATTTCCAGAACCTGGGAGAAAAAGAGTACAGAATTTCATATTAATTGAATATAAGAGGTGAAATTGTTCTGCGTCTTTACCGGCGATGCGATTGAAGATGTCTGGGCATGGAATGCCCCATTCGGGGCATAAACAACCTTGGTTTTCCAGAGTAGAATTCACACAGGTATTTGAAAAGGAGTTCAATCGACGGTGAAGACCACACAATACATTAATTAACCTACGACTATGACCCATACTAACGTGAATTGCAAGCACACTCTGGTAGGCAGTTCCAGTACAAATAATTAAGGGAGGTTTGTTCACCGTGTCACAAGTTGCAGTGCCTACCGTAGCCACAGTTGTTAGCTCGGCGCTAAGGGGTCATTGTTCACAGGCATAAAACTGTGCTCAAGTACTAAATCAATGACACCGGAATTGTGTGCCCCGTTGCACCGAGTCCAGGCGGCGAAAGGGAAAAGAATACCGTAGAGGCATCGCAAGTTGCCCTCACTACGCTACCTGGCAGTGGGGTACACGGTGGACCTCGGCGGGTAAGATGATCCAATTTGTGGGCCGCGTAAGTTGACCCGACCATGTTAACTTTGTCGGGTTACCGCTAGAAGAAGAATCCTGTGTGAACAATCGTCACTCCAATACATTTGACGCGTTTTTAAGTGACTACAGTTTCGCCGAAAGTTGACAACTAACGGGATTACGCGATCGCTGGGTTACGTGACCTTACAGCAACTCTTGTCTGCGAGCTCCAAGTTCTCGAAGTCTAGTTGACGTACTGACGAGCAGAACTCAAATCTTTGAGGTATGGGAAATAAAAGTGGAAAGAACTCACCCTCAAGTGCATGAGCTACGAGCTCGTGCTTTCTAAGGTTGGCTCGACTGCTGTAGACATTGCCACAGTCCTTGCATTCAAATATGAGGCCATCTCCAATGTTCTCCATATCTTCCAACTGTTCGGGGGTCACTGTGAAGAACAAGAGGGAGACAGGATAAATTAAAAATGAAAAAGCACAAAGATATCAACACCAGTTGGTTGGAGTGAACGTTCCTTATGCCCTCACTTAAGGCGTTAACCACATCTGCGACGACTAGACCATCATAGACCAGGCCTGGACGGGCGGTTTAATTTCAAGGGTAAATAACATCTAAAGTGATGTCCGTAACGGACCGCACCACCGCTAAAAGTAAATTGGGTAGGATTGTGTCGTGGGGTTCGTCTGGGGAAAGTGTGAAGCGCGCCCCGCAGGCATACGAACGAGTGATTTTAAGGGAGGACGGGCGGGGCATGCCAGGGAAGAAATTAGAACCCAATTCGAATGCCCGATAAAAAAGTTACGGGGGCAAGTTTGGTCGCGTACGCAAACCTTGGGAGAAGACACTGAAGGTAGCTTTAATATCATCGCTAACCCCCTGCCCGACCAACGGCGAACGT